AATGAGTAATAATACTATATTTATTTGTACTAAATGTATGATACCCAGGTATCACACTATTCATACATTGGTATGTATAAGCAACATAAAATAAAAAACTTGACAAAAAATAGAGTAGAGTAGAATAGAATAGAATAGCATAGTGTAGCGTAGCGTTGTGTAGCGTAGAGTAGAGTAGAGTAGAATAGAAGCTGGAAGGGACCTTGGAAGGCTTCTAGTCTAGCCCCCTTCTCAAGCAGGAGAACTTACACTATTTCAGACAAGGGACTATCAAGTCTCTTCTTAAAAACACCCAATGATGGAATGCCCATGATTTCTGGAAGTCAGCTGTTCCACTAGTTAATTGTCCTCACAGTTAGGAAGTTTCTCCTTAATTCCAGGTTGCTTCTCTCTTTAATTAGTTCCCAACTATTGTTTCTTGTCCGGCCCTCTGGTGATTTGGAGAATAATTTGACGCTCTCTTCTTTGTGGCAGCCCCTTAAATACTGGAATACTGCTATCCTGTCACCCTTAATTCTTTAGATTAGCCAAACCCAAAACCTGCAGCCATTCTTCATATGGTTTAGTCTTTAGACCTTTGATCATCTTATTTGCTCTTCTTTGAACTTTTTCCAAAGTGTCAACGTTTGCTTTTTTTTTTGTAGTATGGTAGCCAAAATTGGTTGTAGTATTCCAGGTGTGGGTTTACTAGGGTTTTATAAAGCAGCACTAACATTTCATGTGATCCTGATTCTATGACTCTGTTTATACAACCCAGGATGGTATTAGCTTTTTTGGCAGCGGCTGCACACTGCTGGCTCATATTCAAGTGACCATCCACTAGGATTCCAAAGTCCCTCTCACAGTTACTGTTTTTGAGTCAGGCCTAATCTGTACTTAATATACCTTTGAATTTTCCTCTATTATCTGCAACTACAATATACTCTGTGAACTATTAAGGAGGGGTTGTCTTCACCCTCTTTCTCTCACATATAACATCTGCACTGAGTTGCCTCATAATCCTCTGGAATGAGCCCCCTCTTTACTGGGAATCCACCTCTTTACTACATTTTATTACAGAATCTAAACCTAAACAAATTGCTGGGAAAAAATACTGGGTAATTAAGAAGCAGAATGTCCCAATAAATGTAAAAAACAGCCCATGGTATACTGTATTTTTTGCACTATAAGACACACTTCTCTCCCCCCCCCCCCGCAAAAAAAAAGTGGGTGGAAATGTCTGTGCATCTTATGGAGTGAATATTGTGTAACAGACCAAGCTGTGGTGGAGGGAGGGAGGGGGTTGGTGCAGCAGTGGCAACAGGCAGCGGCAGTGAACAGCCTGTTGTTGCCACCACCTATCACCACCTATCATTGCCACTTGCTGCTGCTGTCACTGCTCGGCGGTCATTGCCGCTGCCATTCACTGCCATCTATCGGCTGTTGGATCGGCCCCTGGAATCAGCTATTCCAGGTGCGGGAATCACCACCACCTATTACTGCTGCTGCACCAAGCCAACATTTGAAGCAGATTAGATACGCTAACATACATATCCAATCATTAGAATAGTATTCCATCCTCTCGTCTGTGATTTAATCATACACATATATTTACATTTAAACAGTTTTATTTTACTTTTAAAAAAGGATTCATTACTCCACAAAATATACAATTTACACACAATTTTCCTTAACATGTACATTCTGTGATTTTTTTGAATCCAGGAATACTTTACAAAATTTGGAGACACTGCACAGCATCAAAAAGAATTGTACTCCAAATTGTTTTGATAGTAAGACTAATCGATTAATAAACTAAACTAATAAAATAAAAAATATCTACCCCAAGTTGACATCATTCAGATTTCTTAAATATGCATACTAACCAAAATCACATTCAACCTTCCATGATAAAAATATTCCATGAAGAATGAGTCACCTGAAATACAGGTTCACAGAAGGGTCATCTTGACAGCTTCTATTCCTATTAAGACTTAAATTCCAGTTAAATTGATTTACTGTTCATGTGTATGCACAAGAATCTAGTCAGTTAATGGTTAGCAATATTTTTGGTGCTAGATAAGGATTAACAAAATTCAAAAGGGACTGGACTTGTTTCTACATGGAGACTCTAGATTGATTCTTTTTCTATTCCCCCAGGCTCTGCTACTCCTTCTCTTACAGCTCATGGTTCCATTCCTGTGAATACTGTTTGTCTATGAAGCCTGGGAAGAAGCCAACAATCCAGCAAGTGGCACAGTCCAGATTCAAACGAGTTCATGAGAATTTTTAGCTTCTGTCCCTGAAGTTGTTCTCTACACCTCAGCATGGAGGGCCATTTTTATTGCACTGGATTGAGATCATGGCTCCCATAAGTTCTGTGCAAATCCAATGTCTGTCTGTCTATCTGTCTGTCTGTCCCCTCCCCTTTTTCAGAAGTCCTGATGCTAGGTAACATTTCTTCTCATTGTCAAGTCAAAAGCATCAATGTTCGGTAACATGTAAGAATGGTTTTGAGAAGTCTCGTGTAAACTAAAACACACAGGACTGTTTTGGCCTGGGCCAAAGTTGTTTGGGAAGTCAGTAGGGCAAAAGCTAAGTTCTTGGCAGTTTAGGAAAGGCAGGGAAGGGAGTAAGGGGCAAGTGGTGGGAAAAATATTTGCCCTGCTGGCAGCTTTTGGAGGGAAGAGGAGGAGATTGAGAGGGCAATGCACCCCAAATCGTGAGTGAACCAAAATGGTTCAGAAGAACCTCTATAATGCAAAGTTTTGGATTTTTTTCTTACTGTTTGTAGACTGTAGTAGTAGCCATTTAAAAAGTCTAACTGGGCATTCAGCAAAATAACCTAGGAGCTGTTTAGAGAAGGGTGAAAAGACCAAAGAGACTAGTGCCAAGTTTTTTAAAGTAAATTCATGATGACATTTAATTTTTGTAGTCCACAATTTTTAATCAGTATCTACTTTCAACTTCTTAAATTAAAATGTTCAACATCTTCATTATTATTTACATCTGTAAATCTTACTTTGTCCATAGTTTTCAGAAAAGAACATGAATCTAACTTCTCCAAGGCAATTTACCATTTAGCTCACATTACATATCTGAAGTTGAAGGGAAGACTGTAGAGTTTAAATCACTAGAGGCAAATAGAATTTAAATCTTGACTAATGCCTAAAGACCATTCCTTTTATTCTGCTGGATATTTTATTCATTTATTTATTTATTTCATTTGTCAAATATATACAAGATAACAAGTTTAGGTATAAACATAAACATGAACAAAGGAAATAGATACTGATAAATGGGGACATTAAGACAGGGACAGTAGGCACACTGGTGCACTTATGCATGTCCCCTTTAAAAACCTCTTAGGAATGGTGTGAAGTCTACAGTAGACAGTTTGAGGTTGAAGCTGTGAAGGATTGAGGCTGTAACAATAGAGTTGGGTAGGGAGCTCCAGGTGTTGACCCTCTGTTGCTGAAGTCGTATTCTCTGCAATCGAGTTTACAAATACGTTCTTCCAATTTTTTTTCCTGGTAAGTAAAAAAAGGAATGAACAAAAAGAATTAATAGACTCATAAAGCTGAAGACCATGTACTTGTTTGTATGCAATTATTTTATTTATTATAAATAAAACAATAAACTATTTGCCTTTAAGTTGTTTGAATTGCTTTTTATTCTGTTAGTCTCAAAAGATGAATCTGACTTAAGTCTTGACACTTTTTTGTGTGTCCTTAGATGCTTTACAGCCCTCTCTAAGCAGTTTACAGAGTCAGCATATTGCCCCCAACCATCTGGGTCCTCGTTTTACTGACTTCAGAAGAGTGGGAGGCTGAGTCAACCTTGAGCCTGGTGAGTGAGTGCAATTTGACTAGAAGCTGCCAAATTGCAGGCTGCCAGCAGTCAGCAGAAGTAGCGAGCAGTACTTCATTCTAACCACTGCACCACCATTACTCCATATGTCGTTGAGTATGTTAGTAACTAGCAGGCATGTCAATATATCTATAGATTTATAAAGAGAAAACATATATACTTACCTTGAATTGGAAGAAAGCAGGGAAAACTCTCTATTCTAATAAGTGAAGTCTTTGCATGACTGCTATTTCTACACAATAAACAAGGAATAACAATTAGTGAAATTAACAACAAGACCAAGAAAACAGTTAATGAGTATTATAAACTTTTCTATTTTTTTAATGAGGCAAAAAGTCTACTTTTATTGTGAATTTTTAATTAACCTTTCTTTATTTTATTTATGTGGGTACTCCCCTCACCCCAGTGATTCTGGCAGTGAACAAACTTTAAATGGACTGTAATGTAAATAAAATATAAGATCTTAAAATATATAATATATATTGTAGCATAAAATATGTTTTGTAATTCATTCTCAAGGTTTGAGTATTTGAAATTTTTTTATGGACCAATGCTTTTTCTTTAAGGCAAAAAGCAGGCCAATTTCACTTTTTAATTAAACTCCTGATAACCTATATTCAGACAGCCATGCAGTGTTCTTAACAGTCATATAAATATAGTTTACTGTTGCCTTGTTCTGAGATTTGTTTTCCTAGCAAGAAAAATAAATTCAAATATAATCTCAAGATTTTTTCATATTATAAGATTTCCCAAGCATTTTCAATTATTAGGAATTGATATTAATAGATAAAATACAAGAAGAAAAAAATCACACAGACATAGAATGCAGTGAAAAGGGTTGGAGTTTCCCATGACCACTGTGACAGGATACTCGCGGCTCATGTTTTAGTGATTTATTGGATTCAAACCAAGGAAGTTAACATTGGGTCCATTCAAATATATTTCAATATTTTCTAGGCACCACAGGTTGAATGTTTAAGTATGATGGTAAATTGAATGTTTAAGTATGAGGTCCCAGAGATGATAAATAATGGTGCCAAATAGGAAAGTCCCAATGTCTTTCTTTTTTTTGCCATGTCTGGCTTTATAGCAATGGTTAAAGTAAACGGTCATTAGGTATTGAAAAATATTTACCTCTAGTTTGCCCTTACCTTGCAGAAGACCATTTTTCCTCTTTTTCCTCCACCACATTACAGCCAATAAAATGGAAGCCAATGAAATAACAATTATCACAATGACTATTGCCCCAGTCATATTCAGTGTGGTCTCTTCTGTTATAATCGTGGAAGTTGTAGCATTTTCAAATGTCATACATTCAGAGACTGTATAAAATAAAGAAAAGAAAATGGAGTTAATTTTCCATCTGAACAATTAAAAAGGTAGTATATTCTTGAAGTGCTGAATTCCTGGTCATTTCATGAACATGTCCAGATGATTTTCTTGGAAACAGCATAGAAATATTTTATTACCTTCTTCCAAATTAGTCCACTTCTGGGCTTTCTTTATGGTTTTAAATCCAAGTATGAACTTTGATTCTGCTTAGGTTTTTGGATTCAAACTTTATGCTGTTATCTAGCAAAGTATACGGTACTCATCAAGGAGACAACATATAAGGAAGCTATTTGGTTCCCAAAAGTGGGACTGCTACAAGCCCCTGATGTGGCACCAAACTAAAATCATTTCTCCCATTCTGTAGAAAGAATCTCTTCTCCCAGGTCTGTCAACAAAAGTACTTCGTATTAATTTTTGTCAATCATAGCAACCAAATAGAGCTTCTATTATATTGAATATTAGATACATGGGACAAGTAACATGACAATGTGGTGGACTTCATGTGCTGCTGGAGTTCTAGACAGAACTTCAGACAGTAGCTTGCCAAGAGTTCAATGCAACACAGTGATTGGCCCCCGAGCATCAATCTCACATTTTTATTAATTCACCCCCCAAGATCTTATAATTACATTTCCATTTAAACACTCCAAAGTGCTCATTACCCACCCAAAATTGTTCAATGAAAACTGGGATCTTAATGGGATCTGAACAAACACCTATCTTGTGAAAAAATACCTTGTGCTAATGGTTCTTTTAATACTTTGTAACTTTAATTACCTATGTTCCTTGGTAATGATGGTTGTTGACAATCTGAAGTATAGGTGTGACAATGAAAAAAATGAAACATACCTGTCTGTCTGTTAGGAACTCTTGTCTGGTTGAAAATGCAGCAATATTCAGTTTCAGAAGGAGCAGATTCCAGCTGAAGAGTATTGCTTAAGCTGAATGACCCATCCTCAGTTTTCACCGACTGAGATGTTGCTTTATGGATCAGATTAGTTCCAGTTTTAGAAACCCAATAGAGCTTCTCCTCTGGGTAACCTTCAGATGCTGTACAAATAAGTATGTCCTCCTGTTTCATTATTTGAGGCCTTGTATATGGTGCTGAAAAATATGGAAATGTACTAATCAGAACAGAACTACATTGCTCATAGACTTTGGATAGCAGTTCCTCCAAGATCTACTATTTTTCTAGTTATATTTGTGACACTCCCACCCCTTGTCTCTTTTCAGGAATGTACAGATCCAAGCCAGTTATCATTAAAGTCTAATTATTTTCATTGCATTGTTAAAAAAAGAGTAATGTGACTGCTTTGGACACCCACAGGATAATCCCAGAGACATCATAATTGGCAGGCCAAAAGCATATAATTGATTGGGGGGATTTAAAATTAGCTTTTTGCACTTAATATTATGTTCTATTTTGCTCAGTAATATTCTGGACTTTAAAAGAACATTCATTCATTATAGGCTGCCCAACTAATTGCTCTCTCAAGGGGATGAAATTGTGGGGAAAAATAGGAGGAGGAAGGTGTATTAGGTGTATTCTCTATGTTGAGTTGTTTATAAAAAAAAAATAAGGACAGGATAAAAACAAACAAATGAATATAATTCTAGATTTTACAATTTTAAAAAAATTGTATCAGAATTCAGAGTTTTCTGGTTTTACCCTGATGGTTTAATCACTAGAAAAAATACCTAGTCTTTTCTATAAAGGCATTTTGAAACTGTATTTCAAAGAATTCATGTTTATGACATTCTGTTTGTTTCATACTTCTAAACCAGGCCTGTCAAACTTAAGGCCTGTGGGCCAAATCCAGCCTGCAGGGTGCTTAAATCTGGCCCATGGGCTGGCCTGGAAATAGCAAAGGCCCACAGTGTCTCTGGCAGCCAAAACAGGGCACGGGGGTCCGTGCTTGACCCCCCCACACACACACACCACATTTGCAGCCTGGACTTCCTCCTGCAGCACCCTGCTGGCCAAAACAGGGTGCAGGGGCCATGCATAGCCCCCCTATGCCCCATCTAGGTGGGCAGGGTCCTACAGGAGGCATCAGTCCTGTCTCCCCACACCCCATGCCCAGTCTGCAGAGGAGAAGTACAATACTGATCCAGCCCTCAAAGAAACCTAGTTTGAAACCCCTGATCTAAACATTTGCTTAATGAATAGGCAGAATGGAGAAGTCTGATAAGAAGCTTCTAGAAGTATCTGATTGACATTCCTGGAAACCATAGTGAAGGACTAGATAGGCATACCTCCTTTTGTTCCTGTGGACAAATTAAGGTCTAACGTACCAATATAATTTTCATTTTGTCTGTTCCTAATATATACCTGCTAACAACATCTGTGCTGTTTATGAAGAAATGCAGAACAAAAATTGAGAATAAGAAAAAAAAATGAATAAGCTGTTAAGGAACTTTGAAAAAAAAATCACAGTCCTAAAGAAAAGAAAGCCTGAGAAAATAATACAGAATGACACCATGTTGATTTTTTTAAATATATGATGGTTAGAGATAAACTGTAACAAGATTGGGGATTCTGTTATTCTACCACCTATAACAACAAAAAGCACCTCAGAACCCCTGCCACACTTATTTCTTAAATTTGCTCCCTTCAAATGTCTTTCTGCCTCACTAAGCAAAATACAACCAGGATTATTTTGAGTTTCTTTCTCACCCTTTCATCTTCCTCAAGACTATATAATCTTTTTTCCAAGTTCCCTTTTAATGGCTCATTCGCTCATATTCCGTTCCAAGGGCTGGCTTGAATGTTGCGATGGGCATTTATTCACTGGCTCCATCCCTCCCCTCTCCTCCCCCGTGTAGATGTTTATGGTGAAAGTCAGTATTAATAGTAAAACTTTATGAATGGCAGCTGCTGTAGCAACTAATTTTGACCAATACACATTCAAATCTAGTTTCTTGAGGTTCATTGATCATAGGCTCAAACTTACCAAACACCTCTAGACGTATAGTCAGGTTACTTATACCATTTTCAGTTATATAATTTAAGATATAGTTTCCTTCATGTGATATCTTTATTGGATAAATACTTAGAAAAGCTGTACAATTGCTGTACAATTTCAAAGTTGTTTCATTTTCAGTCCAGCTTCCATGTTCTTTGATGATGACTTTGGCAGAACAGTTGTCTCCCTTGAAGGGGCAGAATTTCAATCCTATCAAAAGAATGGGTATCTTACTCTTGCATTTAATCATAATGCCTTTTCCAAGTTCTGCAATGTTGGGTTCTGAACATGATAAACAATTATCCCCTGAAAAAAAAAGCAGAAGATGCAAACAATTGCACTGTATGATTTTCATTTACCAAACCTAAATTATTAGGAATTAAGAATACTATTAACAGCCAGAAAACATATTTGGATAGAAAAAGCTTCAGTTAGTAGTTCAGGCAATACGGCTAATAGGAAAGCTTTCCTAAACTTTGGGAGAATGGCTGCTGTTCAGTATAGTCACCTCTGCTTTGCCTGAAGCATGGATAAATTGAATTCATAACAGCCATTAATTGGATTTAGGAAAAAATGGCAGTTAAAATTGTATATGATTAGCTGAATAACTATAGGCTCTTTCCATATTATGCTAAACCTCAGTGCCTGGATTCACACAAACTCTAAGCCACAATCAAAAATGCTTACTGTAAGTTGTGAAGTCAGCCATTATTTACTGACTACAACGTGCTCTATGCAGGCTACCCTGGAAGATTTTCCAGAAACTACAACTGGTCTAGAATGTGGTGGTGTATGCAATTTTAGGGATTTCATCACAGGTGTGTGAGCTGCACTGGCTTCCAGTTTCATCTCAGGTGCAATTCAAGGCAGTGGTGGGATGCAAATATTTTTACTACCGGTTCTGTGGGTGTGACTAGGTTGGGTGTGGCTAGGTGAGCATGGCCATGTGATTGGGTGAGCTTCGCTTTTTTTTTTTTCGCAGCATCCTCCCCTTGCACTCTGTTTTTTTTTTGGTTTTTTTTTGCCTTCTGGGCTTCAGGGAAGCCTCCTGGGTGCCCGTTTTTGCTCCCTGAGGCCCAGGAGGCAAAAAACAGGGCATGGGGGGGCTGCACAGCAAAAAATAAATAAACACCTTCTGTGACCCTTTTTGACTCCTGGGCTTCAGGAAGTCTCCTGGGAGAAGCAGTAAGACAGCGAGGGGGATCCTGGCACAGCTGATTGTTGGAACAGCTGACCCTCAGGAGGAAAAAAGAAAAGAAATACCGGTTCGACCGAACCGGTAGCTGTTTTTTTACTACCAGTTTGCCCAAACTGGCCTGTACCAGTAGAATACCACCACCGATTCAAAGTAATGTCCATAGCCTTTAAAGCCTTAAATCGGTCTGAGTTACTGAACCTTTTCTAACAAAGTAGAAAGAGAAAGAATCCCCAATGCCAATAGAAGAAATTTCATTTGGGCCAAATAAAACTTTTTTAAACTGATATTTGCAGTTTTCTACCTTCCCTTTTGTGTTCTTGCACCTGTCCTCCTTAATGTGTTGATAAGCTTTGTTCGTTCTTGAACTCAAGGCCCTATCCTTAAAATGTACATATATTCCTGTAAGTTGGATTTAAGGAGTTGTTTCTTTGTCATCTCCAATGATATATATAGGGTGTTTTTGTAAGCAGGAAAAATTGAACAATAACTATCATATATTCCTGGATGTATAACAATGAACAAGAATATCTAGTTTTTCAGCCACATCTTATCTCTGTCTATATAAAAGCGAAATACCACTCACTCATCATCACAAAATCTCCAGAACCATAAAGCCTAAAAACTTCAAATTTGGCACGTAGGTCCCTCTTGGCTTCTAAGGTGCTCACTAAGAAAGGTTTTTTCAAAATGACCATCAGAGCATTAGTATTTCCTATTATTATTATTAACACGCTCTGATGCTAAGGAATTCTACTCCCGCTCCCCACCTAAAAAGAAATTTGTTCCAAATGCAAAACAGAACCAGAGGAGTTACATTTTCAGTTTTAGTTTCACAGCACCAAAAACCTTAGTACAGAGCAGTTGAGCTAAGCCATGCCCAGGCTTCTTGCTATCTCCTTCTTGTTCACACAGCAAATACTGTTTCAGTTTCCAAACAGTCTTCAACTCTCTCACACACTGACAGGACGCTAGCCAGATGACCAATGGATGTTGGAAAGCAGAGGCAGAATTTTTCCCCCTTATTTTCCTCCCCCCAAACTAAGCCCAACCATATAGTTTCGTAGCGAAGCATGGGTATCGAGCTAGTTAAGTAATATTTCTCTTTTTTAAAGCCTTATAAGAATCATATAAGCAAACAAGCACATAAAAATATATATGGTCTGTATCCTATAACTGAATTGTTTTTATTGATTTGACTTACATTATGCTTGTAATAATTTCCCAAAATCATGAGTTTTGACATTTGGTCCTTAGCATAAAGTTGCAGGCTATTCTTCCTCCCTGCAGCTGTAACTTTAAGGTTAGAAATGGAAATTACTCTTTTTTCCTTCTCCAATAAAAGGAAAAGCAAAGTAAGAGTAAAGGAAATGCAATTGAAGGAATCTCACCTATGTCCTTTAAAAGACAGTATAAAAATATTGTAGCCATAAAATAAACTTGAGATAATAGAAAATTTTACCTGCTTGAATATAACTTAAAACATTCAACAATAGGAAAGCATACAGTAAGTTTTGGAAAGTTGCCATATTAACACCAATTGCTTCGGCTTAGAATCTCATTGGAAAGCATTTCAGAAACCGAGTCACCACCTTGAAATAGCAATGGATGTTTTTCCTGTTGAGAAATGAAGACATTAAGTATTCCTTCCCCATCTTACTCAATTAGAATAATCTGTGAATAAAATTATTCCCAAATAATCCTTTACCCTGTACTTCTGAATTAATGCCTTTCTTTTAAAAAATGTGACACAAAATTTTGTAGAAGAAAATGAACAATATGATTGTCTCTTGCAGGTTGAAGGTAGTTTATCCTTTTTCTCATTTGGATCTCTGATCAGAGGAAAATCTCATTAGTTTGGTTTCCCCAATACTGAATATGAGCAGTTGTTCACTTCAAATGATTGTCAAGATATTTAAGTATTTTTAACATCTAAAAAAATCTATTGGTACTACCAATTCATATCTTTTAAACTTCATGATACTAGCTGTGAAGTAAGTCACCTTATGACAATAGCAAAACAAAATATTTCAGTCAGATTAGAAGCCTGTACTATATTAATTTATAAAAACATTCTGTTACTTCTTTTCTCACTAAAAGAGGACACCCTGTCTCTTTTGAGTGTATCAGTAACATCAGATCAACCTGTAACTGATTTTAAACAAATGGCTGTCAACATGTATTATAATTTCTCCCCATAATACAATTTTCTATGATGATGTGAATGCTTTCACTGATCTATCTGTGCCTAGTATTAGTTAAAAGAATTGTTATTGGTTCACATTTTTTCCCTTCTGCCCACATAGAGTCTCAATGAGTTTGCATTTACATAGCAAACCCAGCACACACTATCAAATTATAATTATAGTGAGATGGAGTTCCAGAGATCATTCTGTTTGTAACAGAAAGTGGTTTTTTAAAATTATCTTTATTGTTGAAATAGTGAAATACTGTACAAAAGAGAAAATGAAGTAAAATAAGATAAAATAAAATAAAAGAATAGCTGCTAAATATGAATAAAAGGCATTATGAAAAGACTTTCTGGTAACTCATTCTTCTTTTCTCTTCCATTTGTGTTCTCAACTGCTAATCACAATATGACTATCTAAACCTTACAATAAATGTTAAAAAATCATTGGGGATTACAGTTTTCCAAACTTCTAAATTTGCCTTACTATGTAATGAGTTGTATATAAGTCAGCCTTTCTTACTTAAATTTATTCTGTATATATACTGCAAATTGTGCAGCATATTCTCTAATTTTAGTCTCCCAATCTGATACCTTCTACAAAGTTTATCTGGGAATTTTATTCTTGAAGCCGTCAACCTATATCATAGTAAACTGTGCATTTTACCTTTATGTGTCTTGGAATTATACCTAATAAAATACTTGTGCTTTCAGTTCAAATGTTAGTTTTAGTTTTTTTTTAATGTTTTGATGTATTTCTTTCCAGTTCCTTTGAGCTTTTATTATTAACATAACCACCACATGTGATAAAATTTTCCATCTCTGTTATGGCATTTTCAACATTTGTTGTTAAGTGCCTTGTCTGTCTTGGCAATCATTGATGGACTTAAGCATCATCTGTAAAATATTTACATCAAATTTCTCTTAAATTATAGTTCAGATTAACTTTTATAGATTTTTTTCTGTAACTCTTCCCATTGGGCCATTGTGATTGTTTCTTTGAACTTTAATATCAATTATACTATAGCACATTTAATTTGTTCTGTGTCCATGTTGCATTTCACCAGCAATTTGCAAATACATCCTAATTTGTGTTCTTGATTTTGTATCAGAATTTCAAATTCTGCTATTTTTTTTCAAGATCCTTTCTTCTTTTTTAAGATCACTTTATTTTTTTTTCCAGTTTTCTTTCAAAGATCACTTTATTGTTTCAGTGATTTACAGTTAAATTCACTGTGGTTCTTTGGACGATTCTTGTGACTTTAATCTCTTTCCTGGATTTGGATATGACATGTTGGCAAATGTAATTAATTTTATTGTATTATTTTATAACACTTTATTCCCCTTCTCTATCACTGTTAGTTTTCTGATTTGAGTTTAGATGATGACCTTCAACTGATGGAAGACATTCAGTGCAAAAGGGAGAGAGAATGTTTTCCGAAGATTTCTGACATTTACAGGAAATAAAGATGCAGTAAGATAATGAATTTTCTGCAGAGTTTGCATTTAAAATTACTATGCTTGTTTCCCAGGGGCATGTGTTATCTATCACCTTTTAATTAAAATATACATTTTCAATCTATATTAAAATTAGATAACTGCAGCAAATAGTATTGCAGAATATTTTTCCCACTAACCCAATTACTGCATGTATGTAGCCAAGATTGTTGCGTGACTAAGGGTACTTTTACAGCTAACTTCGTGCACACACAGCAATTTATTATCAGAATTAAACCAAAGTGAAAGTATTGCAACAAAATGTCAAAACTCTCCTAACTTTACCTTTCTCCCAGAGCTATATTGTTAGCAAATATTCAATCTGCCCTTAGCAACCATCTCCCCGCCTTTTCCTCTCCCTTTTTCCTCTCCCTCAGCTTTTCACTCAGAAAGATAAGAAGGAAAAGATAAGAAGATAAGGGAATTGGCTGGTTTTGCTGCACACATGAAATCATTCTTTGTTCTTGTTTTGGATCTTGAAAGATATCCCTCCACAACTGAAGTTGTGTAATGCACCTCCCTCTCAGTCTTCTGTCCCTGTGTGGGACTTTTCCAAGGTGTCCGGTTATCTATCTGCAGGCAACCATGACTCTTTGTCCCCATCCACATTGGGTGTTGGGTGAAGAACATCCCTTTGTCTGTTTGCCACTTCTCTTACCCCTAGAAGCCTCCAGGTGACATCTTCAACCTTTTTCTTCCTCTGGAAGCAGGAAACAGCATCTGCACACTCCAACGGCCAAGGACACTGAAGCACTCTCTCTCTCTCTAGCCACTGATTTCCTGTAGGCCTCTCCTAAGGCACCTGCTGCCTTGATGCCTCAGAGGGGCAAAGACTGAAATGTGACATGCCTTTCTATTTTTCCTTCTCTCTTCCCACCTCTCTCTCTCTCACACACACACACACACTTTATATGTCAAAGCACCAGCAATTGAGGGAGTGAAGTTCCCTCCTGGACTTTAAACTTCAATACCCATTTATTATGTTTGGACAATTAGAATGCGTCTTCCATCTGCCCCACAACAATCCTAGTTAGCAACCAAAGCAACTTTGCCCCCAGGATAGCGCTTTCCTGGATTTGGATATGACATGATGGCAAAGGCCTAGTGCACCATCACTTAAATATGAGCTAGCAGTATGCTGCAGCTTCCAAAAAAGCCAACATAGTCCTAGACTGCATTAATAGAGGGACAGAATCAAGACCACGTGATGTGTTATTACTACTTTATAATAACTTGGTAATTCCACACTGGGAATATCCAGTTTTGGTTGCCACAATATAAAAAATATGTTGAGACTCTAGCAAGTGCAGAGAAGAACAACCCAGATAATAAGGGAACTGGAGGCTAAAGCATATGAAGAACATTTGGGTAGGAATTGGGTACATCTAGTTTAAAGAAAAGAAGCATTAGGGATATGATAGTAGTATTCCAATATCTAAGGGGCTGCCACAAAGAAGAGGGAGTCAACCTATTCTCCAAAGCACCTGAGGGCAGGACAAGAAACAATGGAAGGAAACTAATCAAGGAGAGAACCAACCTAGAACTAAGGAGAAATTTCCTGACAAAACAATTAATCAGTGGAACAACTTGCCTCCAGAAGTTGTGAATGTTCCAAAACTGGAAGTTTTAAAGAAGGTAGATTGGACAACCGTTTGTCTGAAATGTTAATAAGGTTTCCTGCTTGAACAGATTGGACTAGAAGACCTCCAAGGTCCCTTCCAATTCTGTTATTCTGTTAAGGCCATATCTGAACTTCTCATTTCCCCCCTTTTTTTCTGCCCACTCACACGAGGTCAAAAGCATTCAGCCTGGCCAGAAAATTCACATGCCACAAATATCATTGGATTTTTCACTATACCTAAATTAATTCCTATCAATCAATCAGAGTCAAAAATAGGGAGAGAGTTTATTCATTGTGTGGAGCATAGTGATTGAATGACTGTGTTGTAAACAGGAGGGATACAACAATCCCTATTTCCTGTTTACAACACACTTATTTCAGCAGTTCCAAGAAGGCTCCACACTATGCAGGTGATTCTGAAGGCACAGATATGTAGACTCAATGACTCTCAGAAAGAGTGATAACGACCAGATGACTACAAGGAATATAAAACCTTCCATTCTCCACCATTCAGTCAGAACTGAAGAAGCTTCTAGGATGAGAAGTGAAATGTTTTCAAGGAAAATCAAAGCTCAGTTGCCTTTTCAAAAAGCACCTTTAAGACAAGCTTCCTCCTTCATTTCACATTCCTTAAGGGTTTTATTTATTTATTTAGCATATAGCATCTACAGAGGTCATGCAACCACTGATACATGAATTTAATTTAAATAAAATGTATATATACATATACACATACATACATATATGTATGTCTCTGTGTGTATACACACATGTATGTATGTATGTATGTATGTATGTATGTACCCTGTTTCTCCAACAGTATGGCCTCCCCCAATAGGAAGTCCCAGCATGTTTTATAGGCATGAAATGAAATTAAGCCCCTACCCCCAAATTAAGGCCTATATTAAAACATGCAAAATGGGGGGGGAATGGTGGGGGGGCTTGCCGTTAGGAAGTACTTTTGTTGCACACCCGGATATGGTGCTGCCTGCGTTGACCCCGATACAAAGTGCCCCACCAACGCTGAGGTCAACATCCAAGCCATCGCCTCCCGCCTGCCCGAAGATGCAAGGGTGGGGGAATTAAGATGGCCTAGCCATTTTTTCGGGGCTCAAAAAAAAATAAGACCCGGCCTTATTATATGAGAAACACGGTATGTATGTATGTATGTATGTATGTATGTATGTATTCTGTCTCACCTGTGCCAACGAAGTGAGAAGTCCAAGTTTCCAAAGTAATCTACACAAGCAGACAAGACCAATAAAGACAGGGTTAAATTCCTTTAACCAGGCAAGTCCTTGGCAGTCTCACACAAGCTGCCTGCCAAGTCTGATAATAAAGCAAGAACATAAATCACAGGCTATCGCCACACACACAGAATCCATCAGAGCTGCTCTCACAAATTAACACGTTGTCCCGAACAAAAAACCAGAGCTAACACACCCACTTTTATTCCCTGTGGGGCGTGTCAGTCTCTCATCTCAGTCTCTGACTTGTCCTTTCTTTCTGCATTGCATCTCACGCTTTTCCCTGCGTCTTTGCCTCGCATCAAACCAACATTCCTCAGCCAGAGGCTCTGATATGTCCTCCTGGTTATCTGCCGACACCCGAGGCACAACCAGGGAGGAAGATCTTGCCGAAGAGGAAAGTTCTGGGGAGGAAGGTAATTCCAAATCCTCTAAGAAAGCAGGCTCAAACCTCAGAGCCAAATCCTCCTCTTCCTCATTGTCCAAGTCTGTGACCTCTAGCAAAGCAGGCTCAAACCTCAGAGCCAAATCCTCCTCTTCCTCATTGTCCAAGTCTGTGTCCTCTAACAGAGCAGGCTCAAACCTCCGAGTCACAACATGTATGTATAATATATAGACAATGCAATGTAAGGTGTAATATAAGGGTCCACAAGAGTTGAAGATCTTTTAAAAACAAAAAGACCTTTTTATTTGACTAGTGTGTGGTGGGGCTTATATCACCTTAGTAAATATGGATATAGCTGTACTCTAGCATATTATAAGCCACTGCCCCAGATGATTGTTGTACTGGGTTTAATTGTAATTATCTGTTTTAGCTGTTTGCAAGTAAATATTTTTGACTAGGTAGAATTTGGTAATTGCTAAGGCTTTCCTGCCTTGTGTCATAGTTTGGTAAAGGCATATTATGGGTGATCTCCTGCATTGACTCCCGCATACTTGATACCTTTCTGTCTGATGCTTCTGCCAATGGCCCAATAAAAGATAAGCATATTTTAAAATCATTTTTATATATTTGGATCAGAAAGGGAAAAAGGTAAGGGAGGGAGGGAGGGGGAGGGGATAGAGAGGGAGGAGGGAGGTTGGTTTTCTACTCTATCAATATATTAAATGTGCATAGAGGGCAGTAACCAGTGATCAAATGATAAAGGGCATTCCTGTCACAGTAATCAGCTGGGTGAAGGACTTTACCCACAGTGAAATAATACGTATGAGATAAACAAGCTAAGTTTTAAGATCCAGACCATAGCAAGAACTGTCATGCCAGGTCCAGGAAAGTGCAACCGAACAAATGAAATTTATAAGTTACTTTATGTAAATATCTAACATATCCTTGACCCAAATGTCTGCAATCTACCAAATATAAACATTCAGTGCTGGAAAAAAAAGTACAGGTAGGTGATCATTAAACCTGTAGTTGCTTTTTAATGTGAAAATTATGGAACTTCTGCTGGTTTGGCCCTCAGAGAATTCCTATTTAACGGCTGTTCTTCAGAAAGATCTTAGTAGCTTATTTCTAAGTTAATGGCTGCCAGTCAGCAACCAGGTAAAATTCAAGGAACTGATTATTACTTTTCAAGTCCCATATGGCCCAGGGCCCTGATATCTTCAGGGCCAAATGAATTCACTTGTCTAGTGAGATTAGAAACAGATGGCCCACTGTGAGGACCCCATACCCAGGTCTTCTCAATTTCTACACAGCAAATACAGAACATTCAGCCACATACTCACATACCAGCAAACTGTTGTTTAAAAATAGTGCCAGTAAAGATTTCACTGCATGCATTTAATAGAGCAAGAAGATAGAGCAAGCAACAAGGCACCAGCAATTCCAAGAAATACTTGCAGAAACTGGGATTCTTTAGTAAACAGAAAGTTTTACCTGATTAGTCACACTCCAGTTTCTTGGTAGTAAGGGGGAAAATTAGATTCCACTACTGCCGACAGACAGCCTATACCTGTCCAGTCAACTCACAAAGCAAGGAGTTGCGCAGGAATGAAATAAAATGTTGTCTACATTTGCTTTCATTTTCCTTTTCAGTTTGGGACTTGTAAGAACAATTGCCAGGAGACTGAAGTGCAAAAAAATCAGACAAGTTTTCAAATGATATGCTGTACTTATGTTTCTAAAAATTTAAGTCTTTAAGATAATGCAAGATTTATCTGATCAGTACCTTATGTACTATGATTTCTGTTGGGAAAGAATGGGCTCCCTGCTACCTGATCCTCAAAGTGCTACAAGCAGGGGTGGGATTCAAATTTCTTAACAATGGGTTCTGTGGGTGTGGCCTAATTTGTGGGTGTGGCTTGGTGGTCATGTGACTGGGATGGGAGTGGCTTGCTGACTGGGTGTGGCTAGGTGATCATGTGACTGGCATGGGCGTGGCCAGGTGGCCATGTCACTGGCAAACCAAATGTAAGTAGTCCTCACTTAATGACCAGATCCTCGCTTAATGGCCAGTTGCTTAGCAAGTGTTTTTTGCCAGTTTCCAAGGCCTGGGGAGCCCTGGAGAGGGCAGGGCGAGGCCTGGGCAGGTGGCCATGTGACTGGCAAA